TTTGTGAGAAGTAGTATTGTTTAAAATTATAACCATTCGTGCCTTGCGATTTTTATCGGTTAGGAAATGTTTGTCTCTCATTGCCTCTTTCAGGAGATGGAAGACATGAAATTCATTGAGGTCGATATCTAGCGAATAAGGTGGATGTATGAGACATTTCAATTTCAGTTCTGATTTAGTTTATTACGGTAAAGCACACGCTATTTGCCAAAGGCGAGAGGTTCCTTCGTGGAGGACTTCCTGGCACGTATATACGTTACACATGCAGAAAATCGCGATAAAGCTCATGCAGCCAGTCCGTTCGCCTGGATTCGAATCCAGGTTGGAACTACCAGTGTTCAGCGACTTTGCCTCTCGGCCGCTGGAGGGGATGTATTTCAATTTTGTATCGTATATTTTTGTAATATTTAAAAGTGCAGTATGTGATCGAGTATTATCCAGTGGCCTAGCTAGAGCTTTTGCCACACGGGTTGGTCCTTAATTTGAAGCGGTCCCTGAATTTGCTGCTTTCTTGATATACAAACAAATAGCCCAAAATAGTTTTAAAGTGACATATAGAGAAATAAATTAAAGTCTATGTTTATTTTTGAAGACAAATTTTAATCCCAATATATTGTTCGTTTTTTGGTTCTCAAAACCATCAATGGCATCATAGAAGTGCATTTAATTGCTCCAGCTGCTATGATTTAGAGAGTGCAAACAGATTTCTTAAATGCAAAATAAACATTTATATTTCTAAAATACTTCCTAAAAGATTTTTATTCAGGAATCTCTTCTCAGAACCAGCAACGCTTAGAGCAGTTGGGAGGGAAGTTCGCAATAGTAGTAGAGTATTTGAAACTTTGTTCTGGAGATTTTATTTTAGAAAAAAAATTTAAAAAATTAAAAAAAAAAAAGTGCTTTCTACTTTCCCGTTTTGTTTTCCCTAGCAATAACGGAAATAAACTTCATGAAATACTCTTTTGTTAACGAGAAACAATTAACTACAATTATTAATGCTATTATACCCATAATTCAGTTAACATTCGTAATTTTTATTTGGAATTTCGATTGAATAAAAAGATATAACAAGAGTATGTGAATGAATGACCTAATGAAGTCTCGTGGTGATTTCTTTGAATACGTTACCTTGAGTAAAAACTAATTCCCCCCCCCTCAATTTAATTCGGCATGCAATTCAGAATCGTATTATTCTTTACTTGCTTTGACGATCCACATGATTAACCCTTATAAAATAAGTTTTCACGGAGAAAAAGAAGGCTCCGAAAATATTTCGCCAGGGGCGGATTGCCCCATTTCGTCCGAGTAGCTACGTCACTGAGATTGACATGCAGTAACAACACACCTAAACTCAATCAGAAGTCTTCATTTACTCTTGATTGTAAAAGCGAAGGCGATTTTGGAGCAGATTTTAGCGTAAGAAGTACTTGTCACTGTCATTCATTTTCTCATGCAATGTACCAAACGTACATCATTAGTATCCATGGAGGACAGTAAGCATGATTTTTTCTGCTGATGGAATGAGCTTCCGCCCGAAAGTGGCGAGCTTCTAAACTTCTACACCTCTCGACACTTGCTGCAGAGACACACACGCTCCTTCACTTGGAAGAATTTCAGCTATCCTGGGAAGAATTTCAGCTGATTTAAAACCTTCAAAATTCAGAAAACGATCAGAGATTGATGTTGTAATAGGGTGACGTTGATTCCTTTAGCGATGCATTATCCTATTGCGATATACTGGCCATTCTTTCAGACAAAATGATAACTCCTGGCAACTTACATATAAATCGTAAAACGTTTCGGAATTTTATTGCATTTTTAAAGTTTTTATTTGAATAACTTGTATAAGTGAAGTTCATCCGTATTGCACGTAAAAAAATCAATCTGAATCAATTTTAAATCCCTTTTACAATCCGTTTTGGGAAAAAGAGTCTTTTATTCTGTGCTTACGTACAGACGGTAATAAAAAAAATGGATCCTTGAATGGTCAAACTGGATATCTCTGTTGAAATATGATACCAGAAAATTTTCACGATTACAATGTTTCCTTTACTTTGTACAAGGGAATGCAAATAAAAAAAATGTAAAAAACTATGTGTTTTGAAAAGAGTGTCTGACTAAATAACCCTTCAGTCACTGATTGCATATCCGAAGTTCCATTTCAGAAAAACGAAAGAAATAACGGAACCACTCTTATATGCTCCCTCAGGTCGCCAACTCCACGCTGCCATATTACTATCTAAATTTTTTGTCTACATTTCTAACTTTAAGCCTAAAATGTCTCCAAAAACACGGTTTTCGCGTATTCAAAAACCACGTTTTGAACACACAATTTAAGCTAAACCAACAAAAACAAAACATTTAGATAGCAAAAATGTAAATTTCTAACCAAATATTTGACAAGAATCTATGCACAGCGATATGTTAAAACTTAAAAAATCTACGAATTGCAATCTAGGCAACGACGAATCTACGAACTACGCACCCTCGCTATAATAATCACTAATTCAAAGATACATGTACACAATCCGTTTAACTTGAAAAATCTACGTTGCACAATCTAGGCATGCGCACAAATCACAAAATCCAAATAACTAATTACAAATTACAAACATTCAGAACACATAACACGAATTCAAGTAAAATAATTAACATAAATTCTACAAAACAGTAAAATAAATGCCTTACATAATACATTTCGTTAATAAATTTCGCCCAGTCACACAACATCTGTGCAAATGCCCAATTTGCTAGATCACTCTTTCGCGATTCAAATTTCGAAGTAACGATAAAACTTCCTCCAAGTTAACTTATTACACTAAACCACATCCAATCTTAAAACCTCTGCTGACAGCCACAGACTTTACAGCAGCATTAACGAAATCCACCAAGAACTATCAGAACGCCTTCTTCTCCGAGTTCTTGTACAGCTCCCGTTCGGACTCTGTTTTAAAAGTACACGAATTCAAATTCACTTAGATCCTCTAAACACCTGGATCAAAACTCGTTTACAACTCCACACGTACCTTTTATATAAATTTCTTTCCACAAACTAAAATACGCACTGAAATCTTGCCACCACGCTATCATTGCAACTAGGCCATTCAAAATCCAAACGACCTACCAACTAGCATTAAACCCTCCACAAAAGATTTCAACGTCAACGTGTGCCTACACACGCATCGCGCCAAAACCAGCCAGATACATATTGCCACATTTGGTGATCTTAGGCGCATATAAGTAAGCCGAAACTAAGCTTTTGAGTAACCATTTTAGTCACGGTACATCTTTTTAAAAATAATAAGCTAGGTTGTAAGAACAATACAAAAAGACCACTTTGGTGTAAAACGTTTTTGCGCAATATTCTGCAAAATTAAGGAAATGAGAAGAGAAATTGTAGTTAGCTCGCCAAAAAGTTAACAGGAGCTGTGGCTCCAAGAAAAAGTTCAACACAGTTTTTTAAAAGAACAATGACATTGAAAGGTGAAAAATTAGGCTACACGCGAAATAAAAGGTAAAATATAAAACACAGTAAAATACTAATCGTTGGATACAACTTAATGGCAAAAAATACAGTAAAATACCTATCGATGTGACAAGTTAAAACACATAAAAAACCAATCGATGAAACAAGTTAAAACAAATAAAAACATATAAAAATTATAAAGTGGAAAATGGTAAATTAGCTCAATTCGAGGTCCAACCTGGCTTTTCAAGGGAAATTTATTTTAATAAAAATAGAGATTTTTTTTTTTTTTTTTATGTAGACGGGCTTTCTATAGAAAGTTAATTTAGTGAATCGCTTCTGTAAAATTTTATTTGGTATTACAGAAGGTAAAAATAACTACGGGAAAAATTACTGATTTTAAATGAATTAAACAACTTTACTTGATAAAACGATTGACTGATAACATTGGTAGTTGGGATAGAGCAAAAAAGGACTTAATTGCATTATATAAGAATTTTTCAATTTAAATTTGTACAAATAGTAAAATTAAATAAAAATGTTTAATCCTACAAACATGAAAGCATAAATGTATTCATGTTTGAGTGAAGTAAAGGATATTTCTTAAAAAAAAGTTCACATTCTAAAATGCGTTGGTGTAGCTGTCTGTAGCAATATCGGTCTCATGAAACTTTAATTGATAATACTTAGTATAATTTTAATTGTATGAAGATAGAAATGTTTCAAATTTTTTATTTCATTTATGTCTATAGTTATTTAATACTTCCATGTAGCTATGAAAACACTTTTTAAACTGATTCTTTTTTGGCAGACTCTTAAACTGTTTTCTATTGAAAACCCAGAATAATTTGATTATTTGAGTAATCCTTTAAATTATACTGAAATAGTATACTAGCAGGAAAGAAAGCCTGAAAACAAGTCAAAGGTAGAAATAAATTTTATAACAGGAAATTAAAAGTACCTAGACAAATAACTTCTATGCTACTCGTAAATTGGACTATTTCTAGCACTCCTTCAAAAAATTCCTTATTTGCGTTACAAGATATGACTAAGAACTTTTCTAATCTACAAAGGCTAGATATCTTCTTTTACACAATTAATGCTACTATTAGCTAAGAAATCAGTATTTTATTTAAAACTGCTTGGAAGAGACCATTAAAGCTTTAAAAATAATACTAATAAAAAACGTTAAACCTATTTTTTATTAGTAAAAAAAATTCAAAACTTCATCGCATGCCATTTGAAATAATTATTAAAGATTTTGTTTAATGTTTGTATGTTTATAAAAATGAAATTGAAAAAAACTATAATGCTGCTGAATTTTCCATAATTCACGTGATTTAGAATAAATACTGCTGTAGTGGATCTAAAATGGACTCTCAATACACTAGTTTCTTTCCTTTTTCCAAAAATTGCTAGTCCAAGACTTAAATGGGCAAGAAGGAAAAGAAAAATGGGTTTCTATGAAATAAGGTTTTACATAAAGAAATGTCTTTATAAGCTACGGAAATGAAAGAGCATTTTAAATACATACCTCCCCTTTGGCGTAATCAGGTGGTTCTATAGGGGGATACTTTTTTGGTTGATCAAAAGCCACAGTTTCCATGAACCACCTAAATGGTTTGCATGCCAGTCTTTTTCTTAAAGCCTTTTGAGTGGTGAGGTTACCTACTTCAAGATCTCTGTAATGTGGCCGTCTCATGTATAAGTAATCTTTGTACTCATCCATCCAAACTTCAGCGACTCTCTTGTAGTTCTATGCAAAAGCAGAAAACATTCTTATGTATATTTAATGCACTTTCCAAATATATATTTGCGTATGTGCATAGCAATGCGACAAGAAAATTCTTTTGCGAAGAAATTTATTCAGTCTATAGTTAAAGTGTCGATGTTTCCTGTATTTACGGAGAAAGATGAAGAACTATTATATTCTTCATGAAAGGTATGGGCTTACAAAATTACATTTACTGAAGCTCGTATGTAATTGCGTTTC